AAATAGGCCTGGACATGGCCCGAAGTCCAGTCCACGAGTACAAGGGCCAGACAAACCCTAAAGTAACCGCCAAACGTCATATGGTAATATAAACGGAATATTACACTTACTGTGAAGTGTCGAGAATTCTACCATACCTGAATCAAGGCACTTCACCACGTATTCAAGGCTTTGTCATCTACGGACAAACTCGCCCCGAATGCAGAGATATCTACTCAGCCAATAGATAGCATTTTGCACAGGCACAGCCCACGTGGGGCATTTGGATGAAGTCTGTGCGTTGATTGAGGATTAGGAGCTGCAAAATAGAACACTTAGGGATTGCACCAGGCACAATGCTTGAAAGTGAAGGGTGCTGAGTAATGCACAAAAGTTGCTGTTTTAATAGAACTTTTAGGTCAGAGGCAGGGTTTAAAAGCAAATGCCGTGTCGGAGGTGCTATTGAAGCTGCTTAAACCTTGTTTTGGTTTTATTCCCTCCTATGCCTTTGTACTATTGCTCTCAATCTCTTGAGTTCTCATACAAAATTTGCAAGCAAATCGTCTCTTAGGGGTATATCAGGGTTATGTCCATATTTGGCTTACATTGGGTTAAACCATATTCCTTTCCTGCCTACTGACAAGTAGTTAATCGAGTATGATACATTCAAGTACTTAATGGGATGTGTTGGGCGCACCAGCATTGAGAAAATTGTTAAACAGTTAAATTAGAAGTCTTGCGATGCATGGAAGTAGTTTTTAGCCTAAAATACCAATTTTGTGAATGACTAAAAACGCTAGTTTTCTTCATATAATGCGAATAATTAATCTGAATATGTCGCGCGACCTTGCGCAGCCCCAGCATTCGACCAATAAATGCATCGGTGGATTTTCAAGTTTTTTGCTTGTGATCCGTCATCTCCATTTTTCTTCAAATAAGATTACATATTTTGGATAGGCCCTCTTGTCTCAGAAAGGAACTCTATTCGTAAGTATTGATTTTGGAACTTTGGTTTTTGTCTCTAATTATGCAACTGCAAAGCCTGTATTTCCTGTCTGCATTAAAATTGTGTCTCAGCACACGTGAAATCCCCGTCGTTTTCACTTCTAGCACTTTTCAGGTTGGATTTTTATGAGCTTTTTTGCTATTTTAGAATATGGTTAGGATTGTCGATGAAAGTGTGGAACTGACAAGTCCCGTCTCATTGCAGCAGAAAAAGAAAGTTCGTTTGACTACTTTCGCTTCCTCTGTTTCATTGTTTCTCTCTTGGCCATTCCCTCTCATTATTCTATGTTTCCAGGCAAACAAATATCTGAACTTTGACTCTCGTATCTATACTGCTCTGATAACTGCTTATCTTTTCTCAGGTTCTATCAAGCGTCTGCTTCTACGTCGTTTCCTTTCGCCGACTTTCTTTAATGCTATAGCTCCGACTGTGTTAGGTTTGATTGGAAACGGGGTTTTTATAACTGCACTTTACAAAGGCGCCAACTGGAACTGGCTGTCAATTTTGTTCATGTTTGGCAGTCGTCTGTGTTTTGGGTGGTCAACTTACTCTGCAGAGGACTACAATAGGCGCGCTAGACATGTGATTAAGATTGAAAGAGAAATAGGAATAGTCAAAAAACGCGTCTCTGATATGGTGCCCGATCTTCAGGATTTCTCTTTTCATGCTGGTGTCATTGTCGCCATTGTAATTTGCTTCATTATTGAAGCTTGTCTGCAGTTTGTGGGTCCGGAAATGGCTGAATTTTACTCATTGTTGATTTTGTCTGGATTATCAACAGTTCTGTCGCTTGTTTCCATTCCATGCTTGCATATCGCGGTTAGACGCCTGTTGAACATGCCGATTGAATGTGAAGCTAATGCTCAATGCTGCTCTGCTCCTCGAACGCGTCCTGCCTCATCAAACGATGATGCTGATCTCACATCTACAGATGTAAGTTTATTTTACTGTTATTAAGTAACTGGTTCCTTTTTTGATTTGGAGGTCCGAAACTAATACCAGTATTTTTTTGTTTTTTTGGGGTGACTGAAGTGGTGATTGCAAAGTATGTTG